GCCGGGTGTGGTGGCACACGCCTGTAGTTCCAGCTACTTGGAAGGCTGAGGTGGAAGGATAGCCTGAGCCCAGCAGGTTGAGGCTGCGGTAGCTGTGAGCATGCCACTACATTCCAGCCTGGGTGACAGAGTGAGACTCTGACTTAAAAAAAAAAGTATAGATGGTTCTTTGAGATGGAAACCTGGGTCTTACTCATGGCTATACCCCACCCAGTGGTCAGCCTCCAAGCTTGTGGTAGGAGAGAAAGAACCATCCAAGCTGCTTGTGGTGTGAGAGGAAGAACAAGGAGAAGCTGGTTCCAAGATCAGCAAAGAAGAGGTCCCTCCTTGGACCATGCTTCCTTCCTGCTCTGAGATTCTGACTCAGTGAGAGGACTGGGGAGCACAGGATGGGACAAGGAGAAGAAAGGGGGCATCAGGAACAGCCAAAGAACCAGATCTCACCTGGGTGGGCTGCATAGCAGGTGACGCCAGTGCCCTCAAGCTGGTTGGCAAGCTCCCGTGCAAACAATACGTTGGCAAGCTTACTGTCAGCATATGCCCGCAGCTCCTGTCGCCAGCCCACCACTGGGCGGTCCAGGCGTTTGAAGTCAAGGCGCCCACGTCGATGGGCAGCTGAGGATACCACCACCACGCGACTAGGGGTGCATGTCTTCAGGCGGGACAGCAGCAGATGTGTGAGCAGGAAGGGGCCGAGGTGGTTCACACGAAACAGCAGGTTAAATGCCTCGTGGGTCCGGCCGCAGGAACTGATCCCTGGGGCAGGGGCTAGGTGTGAGCAGCTGCTCCAGAGGGAGCCCTGCGGCCACAGCATCCCCATCTGTGAGATGGCAGTAGGGAGCATCCTTCCCTTGTGCTCACTGGCCCCCAGCAGGGCCCGGCTCGAGGGGGCAGCTGCCCTGGCCACCCGCCGCCCCCCTGCAGGGCCTGCTGCCCCTCACCGGCGTTGTGGATGAGGATGTCCAACCGTGGCTCAGAGCTCAGGAAGGCAGCGGCAAAGGCCCGCACAGAGGCCAGACTGGCCAAGTCCAAGGCCATGAAGATGACCTCATTGTTCCCACTCTCCTGTAGAGCAGCAAGGGCTGGGCTTGTCACCAGGCACCTCCCTCCTCTTCCCTCTCCCCAGGAACCAAAGTCTGAGTCCATCTCCTGTAATTACTAAAATCTGCCCCCTATGCATGAGAGTGTAGTGGGTAAGTGTGTGGATTCAAATTCTGACTTTGCCTCTCATTTGAGTGTGACCTTGGGCAAGATACTTAATCTCTCTGGGCCTCAATGCTCTAACTGTGAAATGAGAATAATAATAATAATAATAACAATAATAATTTAAAAATAGTACCTGTCTCACAGAATATTGTGAGGATTAAATGAGTTAGTCTGTGTAAAATATATGTAGGTATAGGTACTTGCGATTATTATTGCCATTCCCTTTCCTCTTGATCCTTACCCTAAAATCTGTAACACACTTATTGCTCTCCTCTCACCCGCTCTTACCTCTCAGTCCAGGCACCACACAGCCACAAAGGGGTTCATTCTGAAAGGCTATTCTGACAGTCCAGAGCCTGTTGAGGACCCTACACTGATCTCTGCTGCCCATCCTATACAGTCTAAGCTTCCTAATAGGATCCATAAAGGCCTCCAGAAACTGGCCCTAGCTCAGAGTCTCCAGCCCCTTTAATTTGCCCACCTCCCAGTTCTCCTGCTTCAGGACTTTTGCATATGCTGTTCCCACTGCAGTTCCCTTCCTTGCTGTTCTTTACTGACTTAACTCCTACTCATCCTTAAACATCTTTGCACAGCAGTTCCTTCCTTCAGGAAGCCCCCTCCGCAAGTTGGTTCGGTGCCCTTTCCCTATGTGACCAGAGCACGCTGTGTACCCCTTCTTCTGCGCTTAAACGCAGCCGCACTGTCCTCTCATGACCTGGATTCCCTGAAGTCGCTTTGCTCGCCCCTCTGAGTCCAGATGGCGAGGCCTCGGCTCACCGAACCACCTCCAGCCCCGCCGTCCCTCACCTGGCGGAGGTCGAAGGCGGCCGCCTCCCCGCGCTCCCGGCTGCGGCAGGCCAGCACCACGCGCGCTCCCCGGCGCGCCAGCTCCAGCGCCGTCATCTTCCCGATGCCGCTGTTGGCGCCTGCGGAC